GGAACCACAGGAAGTGTTGGTCAGAAAAGACCTTAAAATCCATCCTGATGTTTTTACAGATGAATAGAGGAGGAAACAAGGCTCAGAGAGGGTAAGTCACACCCAATGTCCCACAAAATTAGCATTTGAATCTGCTTCTGGTAACTTCCTGTTGCAGGCTGATGTTTCTGTGCCCTCAGGATACCTTGTAAAACCAGAGAAAACAGTTGGAGTAAACGTATTTCAGTCTATTTGACCATCTAGAGGTATACAGAAAGTCACCGAGAGGCATGTAAGTGGGTGACTCCACAACCCAATAGGGTCTCTGAGAGAGGGACGGTGGGGTGTTTTTACACTATTCCACCCCTCCCTCTGTCCTGTTTTCCGAGGCTTACAAGGTGTGACCGCACGCCTTTTTTTTTTTTTTTTTACCCAAAGTACAAAACGACATCCATCTCCAATAATGTTGTCTTCTTGTCCCCTTCAAAGTAGGTTCTTATTCCAGCTTGCAGCTACTGCCGTAGCCATTTTTAGAAACATGCTTTTGGGCTAACATTTTGTCACCCAAAAAAGTCAGTGTCTCAGGGTGTTTTTCTGTCTTCCTCCCTCCCTCCCTTTTCCCCTACCCTCTCCCTTCCTTCTTTTCTTCCTTCCATCTATATTTTTAAACTTAAAAAAAAAAAAATCCAGTTTGTCTGCCACGTTTGGTGCTTACTGATTTTTGGATGTTTCTCCAAATCAAGGCCACGATTAAAGATTTTAGATTTGGGGGCGCCTGGGTGACTCAGCTGGATAAGCATCTGCCTTTGGCTTAGGTCATGATTCCATTGGGCTCCCTTTTCATCGAGGAGCCTGCTTCTCCCTCTGCCTCAGCCTGTCGCTCCCCCTGCTTGTGCTCTCTCCCTCTGTCAAACAAAATAAATAAATAAATAAATAAAATCCTAAAAAAAAAAAAAACGATGTAAGATTTGGTGTCATGAAAATATTAAAAATAATTTTATACAGATTTTGAAGAAGACTATTTTTTTTAACCTAAACCATATGGAAGAAGGTTAAACAATTAGTCATAACTTAAAGCCAAGGTAGGGAGAATTGATATCTTCTTACACTAAAAGGTACCAGGCAAGGGGGAAGGATGGAAATGTCCCACATGCTGGGCTTTGTGTGAGACGGTTTCATGTATTATCTTGAATTTACTCCTCCAACCTTGCAACACAGGCACAGCATGCCCATATTACAGTCAGGCCGAGTGGGGCCCCGAGAAGTTAAACTCTGTTAGAGCTGAGGTTTGAACCAAGTCTGCTGGCCCCAGAATCAATACTCTTTCCCCTGGCCACCACCCTTTACCGCATGCAGTCATTCCCACCAATGTTTGTATTGAATTCAGGGGGGGGGGTTAACTTTGTGCCCCCAGCCTCATTACAGTGAGGGAGGGGGTCATGAAATCAACACCAGAGAAGTGCAGACCAACGCCACCCAGCAGCCCCCCAGGATTGCTGAGAGCTAGCGGCCACCCATGAATAGCTCTGGAGAAAGAAGTAAGGTCCTTGCTGGTGTTCTTTTCCCCACCACAGAACGGTTGGAAGCTTGTTTGTGTCTCTTCTCTGTTTCTTCCTCTCTTCCCCAACACCCAAGTTTGGTTCTTTTCTCAATTATCCACTTCCCTCCCCACCCCCGCACCCATCTCTGCCTCCAGAATAATTTGTATGAGCACCCATACGCATTGCTTCTCACTTCATTTCAACATTGGCTCTACTCTCATTTCTGCCCTCAGCACTCCTACCATTCTTGATTTCATCAGAATAAGCAACATAAGCAGTTACCTGCAGCAAATATATTTGGAGCCTTCCCTCAACAACCAAGTCCTTTCTCATCTTACATGGAAGTATGATGATGATAAAATTGAGAGAGAGAGACATTTGGACATTGGCATCCTAATATTCCCAGAGATTAGATCCTATTTAGGTCAATTTTTATTTTAAGGACTGGTCATTGTGTGCTCTGTACATACTGTTTTGATTTTCACCCACATTATTTATCTTGGCGTTGCCATGTACAAAGGTCTTTGGGAGGACAGCATCTCTTCACCTGCCAGGAGTCAGCAGGTAGGGAGCTTGTGGGCTTTATACTTAGGTAGAATTGGGTTTGAAGGAGCGAGGTCTATCAGCTGATTGGCTCTGAGACATAAAGCAAACCACTTAACTTCTCTGAGTCTCAGTTTCCTTACCTGAAAAATGGAACCATAATAGCTATCTTTAGGACTGTGTTAAGAACACAAGTTTTATAGTTGGATCAAAGTTTGACTCTTGCTCTGCCACTTACTAACTTCATGGTCCTGGGCAAATGGACTTTTCTAACCTTACTTCCTGGCTTATATAGTATTTTATATACATATATACATATATAATACTTACATAGTGTTTTAAGATAGTAAAGGATTGATTATAGGATTATTGGGAGGATTCAAATAAGTAACACATTTGAAACTCTGAGTCTAGGTTGTGGCACAAGCAAGAACTTAATAAATGGTAGCTATTCTTAGGGTTCATGAAATGGTACCTATGAAGTTCCTAAGACAATGGTTAGCTCACGGTTGGGGTTCAATAAATGTTCACCGCCTTTCTTTCTTCCCCAGCAGAAGCAGTAAAGTAAATTGTATACGTAATGATTATCTCCCCCTCTGGCATAAGATTAACACTCCCCGGTTCCCCCCACTTTGCATCTGGTGACACTTCTTACAAGGACGTATGTACCTTAGGAGAAGGCCTACCCTTAAGAAGAATAAAGAGCTGCTTACATCCTATGATTTCAGAAGTGCTAAAAGCTTTATTTGCTTCAGATGCCTGTCCCGCAGCAGTCTTGGTAGTTGGAAAATTGCTTCTTCACAGGTTTTCCTTGGGGTGACGACATTAGCTCTGGAAAGTTGTGTCAAGGTACGGTGATCTTTACTGAGTACGTCCGTTCCTTTTCATCCACACATTAGCATGGATCAGTCAGGTAAACACCCTGCAGGACTAGAATATGGGAGCCCTACATTTTCAGAAGGTGGGTCTGGGTCCCAGAAAGAACAAGGAGCATGAGAGAAACAGAAGGAGAAGCTAGGGAGGGTCAAGTATTTAAATAACCCATAACCCACAGAGGTTAGCATCCATACGGGGAAGTTGAAAAACAAAGATAGCAATGTAACTCATAAGTGAAAGGAGAATTGGGATCCCTGTGGATAGGCTGATAGCAAATAGATAAGAAAGGGAAATATGAATAGATTTTTCTTAACTTACAGAAACACAAGGTTTGAGCAACCGCAAACTCTGCAGACAGAGCCCTTCTTGTATTTAAACAGTACTATATAAATACTATAGTGGCAAAACCAGACCTATGTGAATAAGTGAGGTCCGTGTACTGGAGTACTTCTTTCTGAGGGCTTTTTACTCACCAGAGCTTAATTACTGTTATTTCAATATTTCTAAAGTTGTTGTGTAAACAGGAATGTTGCAAATGCTTCATAATCCCCAGGTCACAACTGGGATGGTGAGGACACAGCTAGATTATGACTTGTGTAAGAGACGTACACATTCCTTGTACCTCTGTAAGTCTGAAATCCAGTTTACTGTTCAGATGTGCAAATACAACATGCATATCATTATGATTAATGTTCCACAGAAGGGACCTGGTGAGGCAGCAAAAAGTTGCTTTCTTAACCATAATTAGAGTGGCTGGGGAGGGATATTATGATATATGAAAAATACATGTAGAGTAACTGACATCTATAAAATGGAGAAGTTGGAGGTCTTTTAGGAATCACACAGAACAGAAATTGATTCTTTCCTGCCAAAAGCTAGGAGAGGCTTTAAAACTCTTTCTCCTACCACAGTGAGACATTGTCGAGCAGTCATTCTGGAGAGAGTTGTGTTTACAGCATTTGTATAGATGACAGTAACCAATAACACTTATGGAATAATTACTGTGTGCCGTGCTGCGTGCTCTATATAGCTTATGCCATCATATAATTGGAATCTATGAAGTAACAAATAAAAATAGACGTGGTTAGAACCAACGAAGGAAGGAAAGATTCTGTACTTTGAAAAAAAATTAACTTTTGAGTCATTGCAGAAAGCCTAGAAATTCTTTGAAATGTGTAGGTAAATTCTGATACCATCCGATGATGTTTGGTGTGGTTTGTAGGCACAGATGGAGTGCAACAAGGATCAGCAGGTGACCCCAAAATAGGGCAACAAAAAACCAGAAACAGAGCAGAAACCTGGCTCTTGGCCACATCTCTTATTAGGGAGATATTGCTAGTGAGGAAGAGAGTTGCATTGTAACTGAATGAGTGTTCTGGATGCGGGTTGTTTCATGTACATTCCTACTTAAGTTCATCAGATAATAAACCATACTTAATTTGTGATACAATTCTGTGTTCTTTTATGGTTTTTGTGAAGTCTCAGACTGAAAGAACTTCGAACATTCCTAGCTACTGGATGCAGCTGTTGAGGGCCCATGTTGTAGATTGTAGTCATTGACTTGGAGAGATGTTTACAATGAATGTACTGTGAGTGACATAAACAGACTATAAGACACCATGTGTGACATGATTCCATTTTGTAAAACAATGTTGTTTATTCGTATTAAAAAATGGGAAACAGGGGTGCCTGGGTGGCTCAATCAGTTAAGCATCTGACTCTTGGTTTTGGCTCAGGTCATGATCTCAGTGTCAGGAGATCGAACCCTGTGTCAGGGCTCCATGCTCAGCATGGAGTCTGCTTAAGACTCTCTCTCTCTCCCTTTCTTTCTCTCTGCCCTTTCCCCCCTCCACCCACCCCTAACCCCTGTGGTCTCTCTCTCTCTAAAAAATAAAAAAAAAAAAAAAAAATGGAAACAACTAAAAGTCTAACCGTGAAGCAGTAATGAAATAAATTGTCATATGCATATGCAACCACAGAAAAATATTTCTCGACACAGTGTTCATCATTTATTGTTAAAAAGAATAAAACATAGTCCAAAATAGTTTGATCCCTTTTTTTTTAATAAAAGGAAATTTATGCATAGACAAAACATTTCTAAATACAGGCACTAATACATTAGCATGTTTGCTCTGGGTGGTGAGATTGCAGTTGATTCTTTAAATAAAATTTAAACAGACTTTTTTTTTCCTGAACAGTTTGAGATTTGCAGACAATTGCAGACAATTTGCAGACAATTGAGAGAACTGCTCAATGTTATTTAATTTACCTTTGGACTCTTCTATTGTGTTTCTCATCTGAAAAATAAAGACAAGCAGTTAAAGATTTAGTCACACTCATTATGTAGTTTCATGTAGCTTATACAGCTCATGTCCACCAGGGATATAGTCAAATTCAGAATGCACTAAAATATTGAACACATTGAAAATAGTCTCTGTGATTAGGACGTAGCTTCAACTTTGTGACTTAAAAAAATCTTGCTTCATCTTAGGCAAGCCTGCTAAGCAGCAGGGACCTTTCTCTCGCTCCAGCATTTTCTTAACTATCAGGAAATTCTCCTGGTCAGTTACCGCGGCAGCAGCCCCAACTCGACTTTCCCGGGTTCAAAGTGTCATTTGTCTTTTTTACCAAATCCCAATCTCTCAGCCACTGTGAGACAAATTAAACAGAGTAGCATCATATTCTTTGCCCCAGGAGAAACGGGAGGGCGAAGAAAGTGCCTTTACCAAGTGACCTCTTTCCGAGGAGATCAGATTAGGGTAGGGGTTGAATGTTTGGACATCTGACAGCCACTTAAAACTCGGTCTCAATCCCGACTCTGCCATCTACTTACTGTCAGACTATGGAGAGCTTGTTAAAACCTCTGTGACTCAGTTCCATCATCTGAGAAACAAGAAGAATAACAGAATAATAACCTAATAGAGTTTATAGGTTATGATAATATAATACAATACGATACAAAATAACAGGGCTGGTGTGAGGTTGAGAGATCTGGTCTGGAAAGCACTAAATGCAATGTTTGGCACAGAGAAAGTAGGCGGTCAATATAGCAGGTGGCTATTTACGTATGCAGTTGTGATCACATCTGAAAGTTCCCAGATGCTTAAAATTGGATACTTTGTATGAAGCCTGTGTATGAGAGGCATCTCAAAGTGGGAAAAATTAAGTATCAAGCTGACCGGTCTTTTGAGAATAATAGATATTCGAGGGGAAAGGCAATGAAGAACTAATTTGCGTAAATTATTTGCTGTTTTGCTTGTTATGAAATTATGACTAGGAGTGTTAAAAAAAGAATTAGACTATAAATAACCCTCAGAAATATTGTTATAAACTTTGACCTCCGCTATTTTCTCTATTAAAATGACTTACTGGATACCTTTGGATGTTGCATGAGGCATGTCTGTTAATTTTTCTATTGTACTCAAGTTAAATTCAAAATAGATAATATCGGTGCGCCAGGCTGGCTCAGTCAGTGCAGCCGGAGACTCTTGATCTTGGCGTCATGAGTTCGAGCCCCATGGTGGGTGTAGAGATTACTTAAAAAAACAAAAACAAAATAGATTTTATCAAAACCATTTTTCCTCTGTGAATCTATATCAGAAAATGATTTTCAAAACACATGCTATCACATGTGACTCTTCTGAACACGGGTCACTAAAAATCAAATGAGCATTGAAACTGTAGTAGCATTTCTCACGGTTTATTCCGAGAAGGGTGCTCGTCTACCATTCCAAATGTTCTTTGCAGTTGCATGATTGAAGAGTGCGTTGGATTCAAAGGTTCAGTCATAGGGACTCTCAAAGGATTTCTTCCATCTGGGTGATCAAGTGGTACCATGAAGGGAACTTGGCCTTCAAATCTTGAAGACACTGCTTCTGATTCCCTTCTTTCAAGTAGGTATGTGAGAATAAGGAGACTGATAAATGCTGCTTCCGGTTCATTAGCAGCGAGAAAGGGAAGCTAAAGCACTTGCAAACTGTGACCATAGTCACTTTGTGGACCATGGAACGAGCTGTCGAAATTGCGGAGTAACTGTCTTCAAGCCAAAGTACTGCCACAGGGGAGAGACTATTTACAAATAGTGTTTCTCGTACAGCTGGGTAGAATCGAGGCTTGTTCACTTAGGTTCGGCATTCCAAAGGTTCACAATGTGAATCATGAAACTGACACTGGCATCACATGGCTGCAGAAAGTCACCACATCAAACACCTGGCTGGCATCAGGGAAGGAGGCCTGATGTCATTGTATGTTTGGCCTATATGTTTTCTTAACCCAACAGTCAGCTTCCTGTGAAACTTAGTAAATCTGAGTGGAATGTCTCCATAGACTACATGGAGATCTTTCAGGATAATTCTTCCATTTTAGTTCCGCTAGTGAGAATCATACAGCCAAATGCCCATCAGGAAGATAGTTCCTGAATTCTACAAATGAGAGAACAGGGAGAAATGGTTGCTGAGTGGCATAATACAGAGATCATACATCTAATTGCTGGGGAGCAATTAGAATAAAAGTTACATTAGCCAAGTGAAATCCTATTTTGGGTTTCCGCCACAATTACACGGTACCCAGTTCCAAGTGTTACCTTTGCAGCAACTTTGCAAGCTAGGACCTGCCTTGGGCTTGCGCTCCAGATTTGGCACCTTATGTCAGGAGTGCTATTAGTATATAGTACTTTTTTTGGGAGGGGGAGATTTAGAAGTTTTAATTACCCAATGAGTAAAATCCTGCTATTGCATTGGGAGGGCAAACACTTTTAATCTTCAAGAATTTACAGCCTGACTTATTCCACCTTTGGAATTCTTAGATTAGATGGATAAAGCATCTTCTGCCAAGCCTGTAACTTTTCTGGAAGGAGGGGCAGGCTTTTATTCAGCATTATAGCCCCAGTGCCAACCATAAGTGCCTGCTCTGGACGGAAAGTTTGTGTCCTCTCAAAATTCATATGTTGAAACCTAATTCTCAATGTGATGGTATCTGGAGGAAGGGCCTTTGGAAGGTGCTTAGGTCATGAGGGTGGAGCCTTCAAGAATGGAATTAGTGCCCTTATAAAAGAGAGCCCAGAGAGCTCCTTTGTCCTTTCTGCCTCGTGAGGGTACGGCCAGAAGATGGCCATCTATGAACCAGGAAGTGGGTTCTTACCAGACTCTGAATTTGCTGGCGCCTTGATCTTGGACTTCCCAGCCTCCAGAACTATGAGAAGTGAATTTCTGTGGTTTATAAGGCACCCAGTCTATGGTATTCTGTTACGGCTGTCCAAATGGGCTAAGACAATAATAACCCATGAATGATGGGCATTGAGGTATCTTGATTGAACCAATGAGTGCATTTAGATATGCCAATGCCAAGTAAACCACCCTTGAAAACTCAGTACATATTTATTCATTGGCTGATTAGCAAATAGATTATTTTGGAAATAAATTGATCATATTGCTTTTACTCTTCAAATGATCGTATTATGCCCAGAGATCATAATCAAAGCATGGGCATTGTGTGAATTAGGAACAAATTATGATTTAAAAAAGCAAAACAATGCACTGAATGGCAAAGTGACTTGGGTGGTTCACCACAGAGGAATGTGGTTCCTTCCAGTTTAGGTTCCTTCCAGTAAGGTGAGCTAATCTGCCTTAGCTGACGCCTGCTGGGCCTGCCTCTTAAACAGCTCAGTGGCTCTGTTATAAAGGGGAGCATCCGCTAACTCAACAGAAAGCCCGAGCTAGCCCCATGGGTCAGGGGCTGGAGGAGGTGATCTTGATGGACTCTTGCATGCCTGAAATGTTCTAAATCCATAAAAACCCACACAATAAAACCATATAGCTTCTCTTGGAAGCCATATTTTCTGTGAAAGAAAACTCATCAAGTTGTCACTTATTGAAAAGACAAAATTAAAAAAAAACAAAAAACACGATGGACCTTTTCTTTACTTTCCTACCAGTTGCTTGGCTGCCATTTGCTTGGCTCAACCCTGGTGTTTTGCATCTTAGTCTGAGTAGGAGGGGTTGAGCTTCTGCCCCCAACCCTGGTCTGCTTGCTGCTGCTGCTGGGGAGACTTTCGCATTTGTTTCCATGTTGGCTGACCTTTGGGCTTGGGTTCTGGAGCTTGCCATGTCCCTCACAGGGTCGGGACACATCCTGGAAGCAGCCTGGCCGTTGGCTCCCCCCACACGTTCTCTGCGGGTGAACTCAGGCGACCAACAACTCGGTGACTCCAACAGATGTTTGTGTCTCTAACCCTTGGGCACCTTGCCCTGCTGTGTCGCATACAGAGGGTGATGCTGGGCACCCTGCCTGATGCCACCAGGAATGAGCACAGCCCCAGGGAATACTGCCAAGTTGTGTCGGTGAGCTGCTTTCCGGGGGTCAAGTGGCCACCAGATCCATGTTTCCTAGTCTGCTTCCGCAGGACGCCGTCAAGGGGACACACTTGCCTGGAGTCTCTTACTGCTTTATGCAGCTGTGAGTTCTCTACATTCTGTGTTTTAAGCCCTTTTGTTTACACATTGCATTTGCCTCATTGTGCAATTGTGGTTCCTGAAGGGGTTCACTGGCCAGAAGCCAGAGGTTTCATGGCTGCGTCTGTAGCAAAATATTAGTGGGAAAACATGCTGCCCCGAGTGTATTCTGGTTCAATCCTTAAGGTTAAAGTGCCCTAAACAATAAATAAGAAAGAAACCTCTGCCAGTCAACCCAGCTGACATACACCCACTTTTGGTAAGAGCCTGGTGCAGTAGAAAAGCACTGAGCTTGTAGTCAGAAAGTGTGGCTGCAGGTCCTCGCTCACCATTTATGACCTGGGTCCTTTATGTGTTTTCGATTTGTTTTCAATTCCTTCAGATTCCCATTTTAACAGATTTAATTTGCACTGAAGTGTTTCTCTAACTGGAAAAGAAAATATGGGTGAATGGGGGTGTCACTTTACCAAGTTAGTCAATCTCAGTTGAGCCTTGAATTCCTCACCTGTGTAATAGAGTTGATTTATTCTTTCAGCGAACAGTCATTGGGTATTTTCCCCCTGCTGGGCACTGGCCTCGGTCCTGGGGGTGTGGTGGGGAAGAAGACTGAGTCCTGCCCTATAGCGGAGCTCTTGGTCCACTGGCCAGAGCCATTGTTCAGAGATAAATCCCAGAGCAAAGAACACAGTGCCCTCATGGAGATAACAACCCAGAGCCTTCGGAATAAGGGGCCAAAGAAACTCTGCTGGGAGGGTCAAGCTCCATCCACAGGTGAAGTTTTGAGGTGAGTCTAGAAAGACAAGCTGGGCTTGTGTCAAGCTACGATGAGGCGGGGCTTGGAGCGGGAGCAGGGGTAATGTATTTAGAACATAGGGGAAAGCAGATTTTGGTCACAAAAAGGCAATGAAAGAGCATCTGGAAACAGGGAGATGCTGCTCCCGGAGGAAGGTAGAGTGCTGGAGAACCAAACACATTGCAGTGAAGTGTTGTGCCTGCAAGAGCAGTAGAATGAGTATTACCAAGATCTCAACCTGATGTAACGATTAAGAGTGAAGAAATATAACCTTAAGCTTCATTAATACACAGTGTCTCCAACAAGAAAGGTCATTGTTTGGTGGTACTTTTCATTGAAACAAACAAACAAACAAAAGCAACGCACAAAAACCAAAACCCTTTTCTTCAAAGAAGAAATATTTTCACATGTTTCCAATGCCAAAAAGTAGAAAAGTACAGTTTATTGGAAATTTTCCTTCCCATCCCATCCTACATTAGCCTGGTTCCCATCTCCCTCAAAAAGTAAGCACTTTGTTTATCCATCTAAGGACTTCATTAGTTACAAACATTTCTTTCCTTTAAAAACAAGTGACAGCATTATGGATAACATTCTATGCCTTCATACCTTGTTTTTTTAAAATCGAACAGAGTATTTCAGTCATCCTTTACTCTATATTTTTCATTTACAGCTGCATCATATCCCATTATGTATTCTAAGTCATAAATCCCAAGCTAGTGAATAGTTAGGTTGTCTCCTTTTTTCCCCTTTGACAAGCTTGCTTCAGGAAATAATCTTAAAACATATGTGTAAGTATCTTTGTAGGATAAATTCTAGAAATAGAATTGATCAATTAAAGTGATGTGAATTTTTGAAATTCTAAGTTTCTGCTAATTTTTTCTCCCCATGGGTTGAACAGTTTACATTCCTGTCAGCAAGGCCTAAGAGTAACTGTCCCTCCCCTTCTCACCAACAGGTATTCTCAGAGAATCCTGTAAGAGAAAACTGGTTATCTCGGTGTAGTTTCCTATCTACTCCTTCCACGGAGGGAGGATACGGATGTTTCTAGGTTTCTAAGTCATTCAGATTTCTTTTTCCATGCATCCTCACTTACATGCTGTCTAGTTTCACTTTGTGTTGAATGTATTACTCAGTTAAAGCTAAGCCCTTCCCAGGGTCTACAAGTCCTCTGATCTGGTCCCCAGACATCTGAGAATTTAATGTGGACTGGAAAATTGAGGGGAAAATTTATGAAAGAAGATGATCAAAATGGGAAAATG